AAAAAAAAGAACCCATGCTTAATAGTACTTACAAGCATCACTTATTTACAAAGATCTCTTCTGAGCTGGGTATATATTTATCTTTTGTAGTATAGGACATTTCTCTCCCTTTTTCTCCTTTCAGCCCTCGTACCATTGTTCCCACCCCTCCCCTGCTAGCCTCCTCCTCCTTTTTGTCCCAACACTAGAGAGGTAGATAAAATCAAGCAGAGAAAACGCTGCCATGCAACTGAATTTGAACCTTCCCCCAAGCCCTTCATTTGGTGCTTCAGTTCTGTCTCATGGCCTCCTCATTACACATCTGTGGCAGAGGGAGTGAATAAAGACAAGGAAAGGAAAATCCCTACTGCTTCTACTGTGACCTCTCTACCTAATTTCTCTTCTGTAGCAGTGGTGAGAGAATGAGAGCAGAGGAGACCCAAATGGAAGAGAGAAGCAAGACCCCATCATGCCACTGCTTCTCAGCATCACCCCCAGCCCCATGTGCACATTCCACTCAGCTTGGTTTCACTCCATCTCACTGGACAACCCACTATCACATCCCAAGTAGACAAAGAGACTCTGATTAGGCAGAATATTTCAAGGTCTTAGAGGTTATTTCCCAGGAATTGGGCAACATCCAGACCTTACTTTGGAATATGCAGGGTTTGGACAACCTAGGCAATCAGTGTTAATTCTTTACTGCACAATGAGAATATCTGTTTTCTACTTTACTTTTGGAATTGCTGTGAAGCTTTTTGGAGGAGCACCTATATTTGGATATCCTTGAAAAGGAGAAGTTTTATGAAGCTTTGTGGCAGATGACTCTAGTGCAGAACACACTCAATTCTATAATTGCAAACACTTTTAAAAGCTTGAATATTCCTAACTTTGATGGTGTACGTAATTGTCCTGAGAATCCTGTGCCAGAAAATTAAGAGTATGTAATTATTAAGCTAGGTAAGAATCAGATACAGACTAAAAAAGAATACCAATGAATTAGATAACTAAGATAAAATAGACAAATGCCTAGCAAGACACAAACTACTGAAATTGACTCGAGGAAATAAAAAATCTAAATAGACATATAACAAGTAAAGAGATAGAATTAGTAATAGTTTTTCTACCATTAAAAGAGAATCCCAAGCCCAGATTGCTGAATTCTAACAAGCATTTAATGTTTATAACATTCTACCAAACAATGCCTAATTTTTCACAAACTCTTCTGGTAATAGGAGAGAAAGAAACACTTCTCGACACATTCTGTGAAGCCAGTATTACCCTGATTATAAAACCAGATATAGACATTGCAAGAAAAGAAAACTGCAGACCAATATCTATTATGAATATAGAGGTAAAATTCATCA